TCTTCCGGCTTCCAGGAGGGAAGGCCCCAGGAAACCGCCCCCCACGCACCCCAAGATAAAAGGGCAATGCTTTGTGTAAACAAGCATCACTGCTGCGCAGCCAGACAAGCCGTGAACCAGAGCTACCTAATTCAATTCCCTCCTCAGAGCAATTAAACCCCAGCATTTCGAGGCCATGTAGACAGCTGGTTACTTACTGCTTCTAGAAAAGGCAGAGGTGAGTGCTGGTGCCAGTGGGACCTGGGTTTACACTTCACAATGCCCAGTCAGAACAAACATCGTGCTGCAGGCAATAAGAAAGAGCAAGCCTGGGCCCTAGGTAAATAATAATAATGTCACACAAACAGCCAGACTACCTGAGGAGTCCAAAACAAGACAAGCTAGGAACAGGTAATGGTGAAAACACCATTGCTGATGAACCAAACCCAGGGGAGAGCTCTGCCTGCGCTGCTCCACCGGCTCATCCAGATGCCTTGCAAATAATGCAGAACCCACTGCCTAAGACGTGAAGCACAAAGCAAACATAATGTGAACTTAACAAAGAACTTACAATCTGTTCTTCATACAGACACATGTTTTCTGAACCTTTTCCAAGTCACTCTCAATAATGTGATGACTTGTTATTACACACTGGGAGGAGCTGGGAGATAATGAATGCTGATAGGAGCTTCTCTTAAGCCATTTTGAACTGAAATCCAGGTAAGTGACGATATTCTCCAGCACACTAAGAACACCGCAAGGCAGGTTCCAGCACGGATACAGGGAAGCAGATATGCTCCTCCAGCCTTCACCAAACCCACCCTGACCAAGCACTGGTTTGCTCTGCAGAGGCGAGGGGAGCAGGGGCAGACGGGATGGCCCCGACACCTCACCTCAAAGGGGGAAGCAGAGGGACTGTGCCCCCTCTCTCAGGCCCTGGGAGAGCCCAGGCACGTACAGAGCACCTGGCACTCCCTCCTTTTCCACAGCAGTGATGGCAAGGATGGGGCTTATGCTGTTGAATGCTGCCCCGGCAGGATCCCGAGCAGCAGCAGGGATGGCCTGGGAAAGGCTGAGGATGGGGCCCTGGGAGGCCCTGGCACCACTGCAGGAGTGGGGTGGTTGCCTCTACCCACAGCCCAAAAGGACCCCGGCCTCAGCAGGAGGAAGGGGGGAACCTTTGTGGAGCCGTCTGTGGTCCTGCTTGGCGAGGCAAGGGGAGGGGACGTGGCATCAATCCTCACTTTGTGCTGGCTCACACAAAGCCCCTCTATGGCGACGGCCAAGCACAGAGAATGGGGCTTTCTGCTTCGAGAGGGCGGGAGGCAGCAGCCATGGGGCAAGACACGATGCAGCACTGGTGCAGGGCCTGCAGCAGCACCCCGGGTGCTGAGCTCCCCACAGCCACCACTGCTGCGCCCAGCAAGCGCGGCACCCTCCTCTGCCTGGTGCTCGGACGTTGGCTGTGCCAACAGCCAGAGAGGATGGGCAGGCAGAGAGAGCATCTGCACACAAAGCAAACCTCCAGGCCTCTGGGCAGCACAGAGCACCCAGCTCTGCAGCAGAAGGGCTCGGGGCAACAGCACTCAAAAGGCAGCTCGGCCCATGCCTGACCACCACAGGCTCTACGGCAGCTTCCTGCTGTGCGGGTGGCACAGAGGATGCATCTGGAACAGATATGGAGCAGTAGCAATTGGTTTGCAAACTCGGGTAAATGTTTTTGTGAACTCTGCACAGGTCAGAGGGGAGTCTCTGGCTGGGCAATCATACAGACGATTAGTTACATTGCCCTTCTCCCCCAGGGTGCCTGCAAAGTTTGGTTTCTTTTCTATCATGCCTTTGAACTTAAAACCAAAAAGCAAACAGTGAGAGAAAAGATTAAATCAAGGAGCAGGATTCTATAAATACTCCTATTAGACAGCTTGTTATTTTAATGAAGCTCTCTTTAAACAACACAAGTTTGACCTATACGCCCAACTAACATCATGGTGGCTGCGAACTCAAACCAGCTGACCAGGAGATGGCCTGTCTCCATCCTGTGCTCCGCCGAGCTCTGCTGAAGGGCCCTGCCCTGCTTTGCCCACTGCAGGGTTATTCTGGGAGCAGCCCAAAATGATTAGAACATTTTTCCCACCAGTTGGGAGCATGCTCCCTGGAGGTCGTTCCCAACTGCAGGGCCACATCCAGCACAGGGAAACCGGATGCAAGCCCTGACACAGGAAGAGGCCTGTGGGGCCACTCAGACAAAGCAGGCAGGGAAAGGATGTGGCTCCACCAGAGAAAGTCACCGTGCATCCCACCAGCACCAGTCCTGAGCGATGCACAGCAGAGTGGAGTGGGATGGCTGCAGGACAAGATGCAGAGAACATATGGCTTGACACGCTGCCACCACACTGCTGGCTTTATCCCAGATGCCTCGTGTCCCCGTGAACCAGCCATGCTGCAAAGCAGGAGACACACGTTTCCTGGGGATCTTGATGCCCGGCTGCAGGAGAGACCTTCAGGGCCTCTGCCTCAGACAAGGCCCTGCTTCATTGTCTTTGCCTCTTCTTGCCCAGTCTGGGGCACCACTTGCTCTGTGTGGCACCAACCCACGTGTGGCCAGCCCCAGACCAGCCCCAACCTCTGCAGGCATGAGGCACAGCCCCCATCCTGCTCCCTCAGCAGTGCAGCAAGGCCCTCTGCTTCAACCCAGCAGAGATAGCTCTGCAGGCCATAGCACATGGATGGATGGAGTAGCAGATACCAGTGCTGGGGTGCCTGTGCAGCAGGCAGGCTGCAGGCAGAGCCACTGACCAGGCTTCCAGAAGTCTTTGCATCAGGGCTTTTGAGGCCAAGGGGGTGATGGCCTTTTACACAAACTGAAGCAAGCCATGCTCTGCCCCATCCTGCTGTCCCCAACTCCAGAGGCTGACAGCCTTCAGAGCAAGCCATCAGGTATGGGCAGGGAAGAAGAGCAGAGGAAGTGCATGCAGCAGGCAGTGACATTTAGTGAGGAAGCCACACATATGACGTCCAGCCAAGGTCTTGCTTTGACCCGTCACCACACAATGCTCACCAGTGCTCCGCTCTGGGTCCTCTTGCTGTGAAGTACCTACTTCCAACAGGCCCAGCGTGTCTGCTCCCTAGGAGACGTGTAACACACATGTGCTGCCCTGGCAGCACAAAGCCCTGTGCCAACTGGCAGCACAGCTCCTGGTAACTGCCTCAGCACCCCAAGCCTTGCACCCTGTGGAGACGGCAAAGCTGAGGGCAGATGATCACCCCAGAGGGTGTTGTCTTGCAGCCCATGCCCGCAGTCACACACACCTCCCCTTCTCACAGCACTCCCAAAACAGTTTGTGTCCTTCTCACTCGCTCTCACCAGTTTTCTTGCTAGCTCATCTCTGCTTTTATGCGTTTATCCTAGGCATACTTTCCTCCTGCCTTCACTGTCCGTTCCAAGTATTCCACTGAGGTGACTGACCACATGCACTGCTGGGCTTTGGCTGGGACTATCTATAACAAAGAAATACATTTTCAGAAACGAATGTATTATTGAGTTTGTAGAACATTTTTTCCCCTCAGTGTTTCTTTTCAGCAAGTTGGGCAAGTTCAAGAACTGGTGGGTACATGATCAAATCAGGCCTGATGATGTATCTGCTACAGAAGCATCACGCTGCCAGCAAAGCGGGTCAAGTTCTGAAGTTAAATAGCAAGGGACTTGGAGAGAATGGTCTTATTGTTCCTTCTTTCTAGTACGAGCCCTGCACTTTGACACTGACTTGCTCTTCCTACAGGCAGAAAAGTATGAGCTAAGCCAAAACTGGAAAAAAATTACCAACTACCTCACTGAGTTCCTGCACCCTGCGGGAAATAACGCCATCAAACCAAAGCAGACACGTTGCTAAAACCCTCGCTCACGTGCTTGGGCTATCGCTCCATCATTTTGTAAAGGCAGTAGGTACTGCTGGCACGACACACGTTGCTTAGAAGCTACACTGCCATTCTCCTCTGCACGCCCGGTCCTCCCACTGCGTCCGGGAACAGGACACAGCCCCAGCCAATTTTCTATTTCTGTTCATGGAATAGGACATAGTTTCAATCAGAAAAACAGGAGACCGTGGCAGGACACAGGGTCAGGGC